TGCGGCAACTTGTTTCACCGCTCCTGCATGGTCGTTAAAATCAAAGAAGGAAATAGAAAAAAAAGAAAAACGTGAGCAAGAATTATGTATCAGTGCCGAGGCACGGAGCACTCCTTAGCGTGATTTGTACGTTTCTCAAGAGGGCTGCACTCGCATCCCACGGACGAAGGCTCACGAGCTTGCCGCCATCTTTAATGAATGTTTTTCTTTTCTTTTCTTTCGTACGCTTTACGAAGGTAGGTCTACCCGTGTGCCGCTGTGCGTTTCCATAACAAGCGAGGATTGATGGGAATGGTGAGCGTGTGAACTTTCTCGGGAGAGAAACGCCGATGTCCCACCTTTGAAGTAATTACGACTGTCTTGGCCCAGCAGAAACATTGTATGCCGAAGCCTTCTTTTCTCTAAAGTCTCGAAATGAAGTTCGTCTTTTTGTTGAACATCGTTGCCTGGCTTCAACGCAAGATTTTAACATTTTGGGACAACATATTGTAAAAGTTACTTCTGTATAGAAAGGTAAAAAGGAAAGGAAAAATAACGGCCAATGTTTCCACAATATAACAAAAAACATATAAACTTTTGACGTTTCATTACTTAGTTTTTAACGTAAATAATATACCCCATAAACGTCGCACTCGTCCTCCGCCAGGCGCCATCAGCTCGTTTTCGATTTGGGCGCTGTCGAGCTCGAAGGCAAATTCGGTGAAAAGGAAAATCCTCTACGCGCCTTCAAGAGTTCTTTGGTGTGACTCACATTCGGAGGGATTGCGGATGCGAACGCCGTCAACAGAATATGATACCGGCCGATTAAACTCGACCCCAACGCGAACAGAAAAAAAAAGAAAAAAAAAAGAAGAAAGAGAACACTTGCACATAAGAGAAACGCGAAAGACAACGCGGGAGATGAATAATAACCTTCCGGTACAGTTACCTTGCGTTTTCCTTTTACTAGTCATCAGTATTGCTTTACTTGCTGCTCGTGCCGTCATATAATTTAATGTAAAAAGAAACTAACAAATATATGATATCCAGTGAAACCTTTCAAGAAACTTTTAACTTCTCCCAGAAATTGTTTTAAAGCGTCTGGGTGAGACACGTAATTCAAATCCAAAAAACAACAACAACGACGACGACACCTTTAAGACATTAAGAAACATGCTTGTCTGGGGTCGACGTTCGAAATCACCTCTTTCTCAAAATATATTATGCAACAAAAACATTGCGCTTTTTTTTTTTAAGCATGGAATGTTTTTTAGCGCTACGCGTAATCCCAAAAGTGTGTCCGTCCGTCTGTTCGTTCGCGCATTTTCAACTAAATTTAGCGGGGAAAATGGCGTCACCTGACGTCGAGTGACCTATATACACCTTGGTAAAATTGACGGCACGTGATTTACACGTCAGCTCAGTTTTCCCATAGCGGGAAAATTCCCGTCTTGTGGCCAAAGCATCAATCCAGTTTCCCCGCTAAATTTAGTGGGAAAATATGCGACACGCGATACACCGATTCCCCATAATGCATTTGATGGATTATAGGACTTCGAAGGTAAGGGTCGCTGCTTTATACATTGTGACATAGATGTCCTGTAAAAAAACAACTTAAAAATAAGATATGTTTTGCTGTTCAGTAATCATGTCGTTTAACACCAAAAAATATGGCACAAAAAAGGGGAAAAAAGTTTTAGTAGAAGGAACAGACACAGGATACGTTTCCTTCTGTGGATTTTCCTTCGACTTAAAGTTTGTTCCTTTTCTGCGCCACAGTCTCAAGAGTCTGGTGTTAAACAACACGAGTAGCTACCACCAGCTCGCCTGCGCACTTACTGTATTTTCGCTTGTTGATCAGTGTTTGAATATTCCACATGGATGCGCGAGACAATCAATCAACATTTTTCTTCGTAAACTAGAAAAAAAAAACATTTTTTTCGCGGCCTGTGCAATTTTCATTAACGTCGTTCCCTCGACCAACAGGTACGTTTGTCGCCTGTTGGCAGCGTTCGAGCGAGGTGCATTTGTCATGTCTGCGCGCAATGCTCCTTCAAGGTCTCTGCGAAACATCGTGGAAGGCCCAGGGACGAGCGCGTGGCTTCACTACGCGCTTTGCTCGCGCGAGCGGTCTTGGAAACGAACTTGCGTGATGAAGTATACGAAAACAAGGCCATGGAAGCTGTAAACCGCGTTGATAGGTGAGGAGAACTTGCGAACAAGCAGTCTTCTACACTTTACTCGAAAAAAAAAAAAAAGTAATCGATTGCGATCACAATTACCGTCCATTATTGGATTCGAATCACCGAATTGTATATAAAAAACTGATTATATTTTTAATCCATCAATTTTGGTAAACCGTCCGCCTGTCGGAATCAAAGTTCGAAGATTTTTTTTTTTTTTTTTTTTTACAGGAAATTCGCGCTAAAAGGAAGGACGCCATCAAAAAGAGAAGGGAAAATAATAGAGGTTACGAGGAATTTCAGCACTTTAAAATGTAATCGGATCACTTATGCAATCACTTTCTAATAAATGTATTCGAATGATTACAAAATTACTCCGAGTGATTTGATTACTTGGAGTGAGTACCGTACAGGGCTGCCAGGAATTGACACTTTCGTTTGTGGATATTTTTCTTTTTAGCCTCGCGCTTTACTCCTTTTAATAAAACACTTCCATGTGGACGCGTTCTTTCAGCTTGGCCTTACCAGAACTTTCACGTTCGGGAATGTGTGTGTGCTTTTTGTAGCTTTGCTTTTATACGCACACACACACACACACACACTCTTTCTCTCTTGTTTCCTTTTTTTGGTCACATCGTAGCACACTGGCACTAAACGCAGCTGGCAGAAGTATAGTGGTTTTCGAATAAACGCCTACTACACTGCTACAGCCTGCGAACTAGAGTGTAACTTGGCCATAACGAACACGTTATGGTTATGGTTAAGCGCGTGTAGCGCGGCCTTACAGTTAGTAAGGCCGCGCTACACGCGCTAGTTTCAGTTATACAGTCACCGACAGCGCAAGGGCCTCGGGGCATGGCTTCCTGTGTTCGCGCTTCGTTGATTAGTCCAATTCGGTAGACTTGACACCTAATGCAGCAACCTGATTGGCTACGGAGTGATAATGAAATGCTCCAAACTCGCCCCGCCCCGCGTTTCTTTAAAAAAAAAAACAGTGTAAAAAAATATGTCGAGCAAGTTGTTTTAGAATGCCTCTTCTTTGGCGCGTCGGAAACGACGAGCAGGGGCACGTCAACGGGCAACGAAGAGAAACGCGCGCAGAAAACGCGCAATGACGGCGGGGCAGCCAAGAGCTCGCCGTCAATGGCGGGAAACAATAGCACGTGGGCTTGTTGAGAGGGTAAACAAACGAACGAAGTGCGCAAGGAGAAGGTCACTTGCACGCCGTATAGGTATCTTACGAAAAAGAAAAGAAAAAGTGCGAGGCAGATTATTGACGCCTCATGGCGCGAGAATACGTGTGATTTACAACGAAGAATCTCAGCTCAGTCCGAATTTATGCGCATTTCTTCCTAGAACTATGTTGTTGTTTTTTTAGTGAATAAAAAAGCTTTAAATACTACTTTGATTACGACAGAGTATCATACCATGAATATTGTACCAACAAATATATTTACACTTGTCTTTACGGCAAACCGTATTTTAATCAATAATAAAATAAACTCTAAAATAATACTAAAAAAGAAAATCAGCGATTTTAATTATGTCCGGGAACCGCCGAAAGGCACGGCACCAATAATTTTGTCCAAAACGATTCAGATACCCACGCTGCACACTAAACCTTTTTACACCCCTTAGGGGTGTAAAGCACTTGTCCCAGGACGAGCACTTTACTAAGCACACTTAACTTTTTTACACCCTTAAAGGGTGTAAAAAAGTTAAGTGTGTGCGACTTGACTCGCGACGAATATTGCATGTGAGCCGCGGCTATTGCCACCCATGCCCATCCCTGCGCAAAAGGCATTAGATAAATTTACGACACCTTTTCGACGACACTACTCCCCCCGCGAGAAAAGTATAAATATTAACGACAGAAAAATGATAAAGATCAAAGGGTGATCAATAAGCTCTGCCGACAAATTGGTCCTGTAATGACTCAAACGATGCGCGCACATCAGATTTTTATCACGCACAGACAAACCACAAGGGAAGATTACCTATCGGTGAATCACACCGACAGTCATAACGGAACTGCCCCGGATTAAGCATCCGATAAGTACTGCCGGTAGAATAATACATACGCGGTGTCTGTCACACGTGCTTTTCATACAACACAAAGCCCACTCAGACGCATACCACGAATTGTTGTAATCATACCAGACCCGTCGAGAGATTCCTATCATTCTACGAACAGAGAGAAAAAAAGTTACTTGTCGGCATTACATTGCTCCTGCAACGGGTAACGTATTTGCTTGGGAATGTGTAGCAGCTACAGCTGAGTGCGCCTGGAATGTAATAGAATGAGATTGGTTCGTTCGCCTTCGCTATTTTCTTCACCCGTTATTTTAGAGACACAAGAAGAATTAAAGGGGTCGCAGCTAGCAAGACGCACGCTCTGAGAAGTCTGGAGCTTCGGCTATCCCGCAAAACGCTTGGGGGTTCCAATCACGGCTGTGAACGGAAAAAAGCTTAGCCAATGAAAAATCCAAAATATATTTACACCTAAAAAGAAAATTGCCTGAGTTGCAGCATTGGGTATGGGGAAACGTGGCGCTCACTGCCACAGCGCAGCACCCATCCCCCCTCTGGCCATAGCATAGCGTAGTGTGTTACCGTTGCCAGTTGTGTCATTTTCGTTCAATAAAAAAGTATCTCAATCAATCAATCAATTAATCAATCATATTTGCAGCCACATTATTTGCCGACTGATCCGTACACTGCAACGATCAGCTTTTCCCGAATGCTTTGCGGGAAAGCAGACCCTCCAGATTTTACAGTGAGCGCGCACACACACACAACATAATGAGAAGAAAAAATAAATTCATTCCCAACACTCACTTTTTGAAGTGTTTCTCGTACTCCTTGATCTCCTTGCGCGAGAACTCCATGTAGGGGTTGAAGCCCGCGCTGATTTTCAAGTCGCTGATCTCGCCCTTCTCGATCGCCTCGCGACGGGCAAACTTCTCCGACAGCTCGACTTCGGCCATGCTCGCTGCCTGCCTGTAGTAATGCTGCTGCTGTCGACGTCGGGTACTCAACCTCGTAAACCTCGTCCGATCCACGCAAACTGCGCACCTCGGCAGGACCTTCGCGCACGTGAAAGATGATGCGACCGCACCGCAAGAACGTGATCTGGCTACTGGCCCCCCACGCGGACTTTCTTCTTCCTCGTACGTTTGCCGCGCTTGCCGACGTAAGCGCGCGGCGCGCTTTCCTTTCTTTTTTCTTTTTTTATTCTTCCTTCCAGACGCCGGTTTTTCGCAGCGGCCGATTTGATTGGTGGAGTGGGAGCGTTGACGTCATTTCCGTCGCCTCCTCTCTTTTTTTTTCATATCACGGGAGAGGAGAAAAGGAATCGGAAAGGATCTGTGGACTTGTGAGTTGCAATGACGGAATCCGGAGAGTAGTGCAGCCAGTGCAGCAACTTCTTGAATACCGATCGCTCTTGTGTTACCTGTTTCGTAGCTACAGTCAAGGCTCCCTTTAGTTTGCAACTCGTCACTTCTTTTTTTTTAAATTTATTTCAGCGGAAAAAAAAAATCGTTCCCGGTGATCAATGTCTACACACGATTCAAAAGGTAAAATATATTTGTAAAATATACAGACTTTATCAGTGCCGAATTACCATATCAAACATACAAAAGGTAAATTTCTGAGAGTCGAAATTAGGAGGAACGAACCTAGAGTGGATGTGGCCCGGACATATATCCAATTTTATCAGCATTTTTCTTTGGAGAAAAAGAAGTGTATTTATTTTTGCCGTAAAAATGCAGTGTTCTTTATATTTTCAATTAGATATCGGTATTTATTTAATTATCTAACTATAAAAATCCGAACTTCTTTGTGACTCTTTTACTGTTTCCCAGTTATACGCTAGTAAGATAAACGCAACATTCAAGAGAACAATTAATGTCCTAAATTATATTAAAACGCGTTCCATTATTTTATTACCACGTCCTTCGAAAACACCGAATGCAGTTCAGGGGTATATAAATTAGTTTGTTAAATGCTTGTCCGAAATATGTTTCATAATAATATTTTGACGTCTCTACTAGAACGCAGTGAAAATTAATGCTTGCTTCAAATCGATCCTCCTCTTCCTTTTTCTTTCCTCCTCCTCCTCGAGCGGAGTGCGACGCCAGACGAATCAGTACCGAGTTATCAACTTAATTGTGGCCGAAATGAATGGGCACGTGTAAAACATGACGCGAAGCGCATTCGCGGATTACACAACGCGGCTACTTTTCTGGATAGGAGGTAATAGAGAAATACACTACTCTGGTTTTGGACTAGCTCATATCTGTAATCCGTGTTGTACGGAGATGTGTCGTTATCGCAGTGTTTACTTGGCGGGCAGACCGAGCTAACTATATAGATTCAGATCACAGACCACCATCTTCCTCGTGTGTTTTACGTCGTCGTTAAATCTATATACATTTAAAGACGACGTAAAACACACGAGAAACACGGCGGTCTGTAATCTGAATTTCAAGATTTTCCGCGACGGTCTACCAACGAAAGAGGAAAAAGCTTTTATGTGCACGTGTCAAAAAACACAAAAAAAAATTAGCCAGACCAGCAGATATTTTATTTACAATGTGTATTTCTTTTCCGGAAGTGCTTTCCCTTTGAAAGTTTATCGTGACATCCGACCAAGTTCAGATTCTCAGAATACGCGGGCCGTCGCGTTACCTCGATTCTGCAGACAGGGCATGCAGATAAAACTTCCCGAAGCTTGCTGAAAGCCCGCACGCCTGATAATGGGGAAAACATGAAACCCTTCATTAAGGCTTGTCGCTTTGAGCAACTGATATGCCTATAATTTTGGAGATTAAGAAATCAAAACGATGCACCCGGATCAGTCATTACAATGCATGTGCGTCTAACAAAGCAATGCTTGAAAGCTATACATATTCGTCAATAGCTTTTCTTTTCTTTTTTGTGTGTGTGTGTGTGTGTGTGTTTACTATCAAATCAGATTTGTATACACTTTTTTAAATATAAAGCAGCGGCTTCATAGCTTCAGAAACTTGCGCAAAGAAAGTAATTAGACATTTCTGTTTAGACAGCGTATGGTCTGTTTGTCTTTGAAATATAACGACACTGGTTTGCACTGCAGACGAGAAATAATTCGCTAGAAAAACATGTGCCAAAACATGTGTTTAGACTAAAAAACGCAGTCTGAGTTGTTACATTACGCAATGCAAAACGTCATGCTTGCATTGCTTCATGTCACAACACAGACTGCGCTGTGGCATTACGCAATGCAAGCATGACGCTTTGGATTGCGTAATGCCACAGCGCAGGCTTCGTTTTTAGGTCTAAACAGATGTTCCGCCTCACCATTCGCTGAGCTGATTTCGTAGAACGCAGAGATTGGCTCTTCGAGTGTTTTGCGGGTAAGTAGACGCGCAGGCATTTCTTAGAGTGTATTTGCATTGCTTCCTATAGTCATGCCACTCATGCCATCCAACCAGCACACCATTATAATGATTCCAATGGTGTCCTCTTAATTTTTTTTTTTAATTTTACTGTTTCGGCCGTGGTTTATTTCGTTAATGCAGTACCACCCCGGAAAATCCCACAAGTCTTCTCGTCAAGCCCACATTGCACCTCGAAGCGAGGGAAATTGTGGCTCCGGCAGACCCTCCCTCCACACATTCTGGAAGTGACTCGATTCCTTCTCTCTTACCACGGCGATTCAGAACTCAAAGAAAGCGTATCGAACACATCACAAAGCCGATGCGTACCCTGTTTTGTTGTCGTCCCGCTTTATTTGCGCTCTGAAATCGGAAAATGCTGCGGGTGCTCCCTCACGCACCCTACATCGGAGTGCCGCAGTACATCGAAGAGACCATGAAACTATGGGAGGCGCTGCGTATTTCCGGAATGGTCTCATTGGAATTCATCTAATTTCATTCAAGAATCTGCGAGCCATTTCACACGTGCGCTCGCTTTCCTGAGGACCTGTAGCCTCGGAAGAGACACCTCAAGCAACCACTTTAGAGGAAGTGGGCGAGGGCAATGACGTAGTAAACTCTGGAACAGGGGAAAGGAGCGACGCACTGACAGAAAACTCCCAAATTTCAGATCCCCTTGGACGGCCTCGTTGGCGGCGTTCGGACGACGGCCCAGTGACTGCATGCCGACTTACTTCACGTTGTCGTCGCTTCATGACGTCTCGAACGCAACCCGGGACGCACACAACCGCGTTGGCGAAATTCAGCCCTGGGACCATCACCGCCTTCCACAGCCATCAAGTGAGCAAGCACATACGTTACAGCTCCACAGACTGTGCTTGTGGAGGACGTTGGACCCTCGCACGGCTGACTGGCGGAGGTGGGCACAGTGCTCCCGTAGAGAGTTGCAGATCCTTTTCAAAAGTGAGCGCCATCTATAGTAGCTGCTGCGCCAGGTATCCGAGCCCGTACTGGACACGAGGGCAGCGTCAGCATGCGGCGTGAACTCGGCTTAGCTCGCATCGAAAGCGAGTGCTGCGTCAGGGCTCGACGAGGACTCGGACCCATATCACACGCATCGTGTTTTTCGCGAAGTTCTTGAATTCACAGTTTTGGTCCTCATCGTGTTTTTCAGAGTGAAAGTCCCTACTGGCAACAATGAAATGAAAAAATGACGTCCGCGGAAGGCGGGAGTTCACTCTTTGGACCGTAGACTTTGTTCCCAACTGATTACAAGCCGTTTCATAGTTGTCGAATGGATGATTTGGAACCTCACTCCAGCACCCGCGCAGCAGCACGAAACAAATGCTCGACATAGTCCATTTTTAGATTGCCCGCTCGACCTGCAAGCCTGCCTCCCCCTGACGTCAAGGCACTGAAAAGCGCGGGTATATTTGAATGTTGGTTTTGGCATCATTTTCACTTGCCGATTTTACAATAATTATTCTCAATTTCGAGATACTAAATAGCATATCGAAAAGGGTAAGGGCCGGTGACTCAGAAAATATAGTCAGTTGGGGTAGCTCAGAAAACCTCCAGGTACAAATTTAAGAAACACCCATATGACGGGGGTGTACTGCGCTGCTGGAAACAGATTCATCTGTCGCGTTCGTTTCGGAACTTCAGCCACAGTGTAATCGCCCAGGAAGCCGCAAAGCGACAAGGTGCGGAGGTTATGAACTCTTTACGACCGGCCACACAGCCGGAAACTGTGAAAGCTCCTGTCGGGGCTCTGACGCACCAGGCGTTATCACTGCCTTATCTCTAAGTCTCAAAGTTCGACGCCAGAAAAGGTATTTAGAGAAGTGCATACCGGCAGGCTGCAGTAATAAAGCAGATTACAATCATTACAAACTGTTTGTCTATGTATAGGCTATAGCAGATTGTGTGCTCACTCAAATCCTTCACGCGAGGCAGCAAACTCATTGGCTATAACCATATAAGTGGCTTTTCAGAACCTGTTTCAAGTGTCCGACCGGCCCCTGTGGGTATACGGCGAATGCTCGCCGTCTGCTCTGGCTCTGCTCCGGGACTAAGTTCACCCATAAGCAGAAACTCAGCGAGGCCGGACTAGGGACCCACCCACCCAACGACTATACACTCGCTGAGTGAACGAGAACAAATACCACAAGTCTCTTCTGAGGTACCTGCTCGACGCGGGACTGCGCTCCTTTTTTAAACCCTTTGGTTCTTGGTTCTTGTTACAAAATAAAAATGCTTGAATTTTGATGTCTGAGGCATTTGAATACTAATTCTTCAAACTTAGTCCTTTTTATAGAATATAAATACAATATTGCATGCACAACATAAAATATGTTACATACATTTGAATGAACGAGTGTTTCGAAAATCGAGAAAATTCGGAATCGATTTGATCAAAAACCCAATTCCTTGTTTGATTCATGTTTTATTGTAGCAAGGTTTTTATCAGAAAATATAAATAGATATTAAACTATTGCAGGAACGTAGTTTCGGGGGGGGGGGGGGGGGGGGGGGGGGGCATGACAAAATGCTTTATGAGGGGGAGGGGGAGAGGAGGTCCCAGCCAAATGGAAGATTTCGGGGAGGGGGGGGGGGGGAAGGAGGCTTGGTCCCCATGCCCCCCCCCCCCCCCCCCCCCCCCCTCTACGTGCCTGAACTATAGTATTTTGTTTCCGTGACAGCAAATAATCTTGTCAGTCGTGCTTTCTGACTGCGTCCTCGCCAGTGGCGTGGCCAGGGGGAAACTTATGGAATTGAGGCCCCCCCCCCCCCGCCGCCCCCCCC